GATGCTCGCATCGAAGGAGACGTCGTCGTTCGTGCCCGTGGCCTTCCGTGGCAGGCATCTGATTGTCATGTTGCGCAGTTCTTTGCCGGACTCGAAATTGCACCGTTAGTGGCATTCTGTATTTTCGAGTTGGATCTGTTGCTCAAACGTCTTGAGGACCAGTAGATCGAATTGCCTTTGCGGAATGTGTCACAAAACGCGGTTCACTAGGCACCAGGGTGGACAACGGTCAAGGAAATTTTTTGACGACGGCTCTGTAAAATGCAGGAGTAGTGGCGATAGTGAGTGTTCGCGCGGGAGAATGTGACTGAACACGCGAAAGTCCTCGACAAGTCGTCGACGATTCCTCGACCGATTTTCATCCTGCCGCGCACCGCTTCTAAGGCTAAGGCTGTGTCGTACTTTTCGAATCATTCTGAAAGAATGGAAAACTCAACTGGCACAGAGAAGAATTGTTGCGAGGGATCACGTGGGCAAAAATCGGCGCCTTCCTCCACTGCGCTAAGAAAGTAGCTCAAAAATGCAAGATCAGACGAGTGTTTCACTGTTATAGGTCACTATACACTACAGGCGATTTCTCAGTTAGTTTCTCAGTCAGAAGTTACTTAAAGAATGCTACCGGAGCTCATTACAAGCTTTTGTGACGCGGAAGCACTCTTGCAGTCATTTCCTTCTTACCATAGTGGGCAGTGCATTCCAGCATATAATACAACTGTTGAGATGCTTAAATCAAGCTCCTCGGTGTTTCACTTTCAATTTCATGTCTATGTCCTTCGCTAAATATAGTCCCAGTAGGCGCTTTGCGAAGTGAAATCGCTTTCCACCTGAGCCTAGGCGTTTCTTCGCACGAGACTTTTCAGTAAGGGCCCTAAATATGGGAACTGCTGTTCACCAGCTCCCTGCTTCTCTTGTCGGGTGATCCTGTGGTCTCCTTAGCCCGCGCAAGTGCAAACCGCTGTCTTTATCAGTCGTCGCCACTTCTTTATCTCTAGGGCATCTTCTGCTGTGGCCGTGATTTCACTTAGGTCCTTCTTGACTACATCCTTCCAACCTTCCCTTCGGGGCTTTCGCGGTCGCTTGCCTTGCGCTTGAAAATTCCATTGCTTTTGTTATCAGGTGATCTTGCAGTCTCCTTAGCGCACGTCCGTACCATCGGGGGCGTTCTTCCCAAACCTTTGTTTGGACAGGGGCGGTCTTCATGACCGCTGTGACGTTCTTAGACATCTGGAGCTGTGAAGATGGGGACATTGTTTTGAAACCATTCCTTACCCAAAAGCAGTTGGATGGGGCGCACACTTCTCTGCGTGTCTCTGGATACTGAACTTAATCATTATTCCATGCTCGGTCGCCTTAAAACTGAACCTTTTGAATTGAATACTATGTGGTTCTTCTTCTGTGTCGCACAGGTTTACGGCGATACTGCTTCATATGGTGCAATTCTCTTCGACAATGCGTCACTTTCTGGACTTGCGGTTCCACCAGTCTCTTGTAGCTTCCATGCTCTTGATCGGGAACTAGGGGAAAAATTTAGGTTTTTTCTTGGGTGGGTGACTAAGCACCAAGGCCGCCAGGGACTGGTGGAACGGCCGGTCCTGAAAAAGCGCGGCACAGAAGAGAACCACTCAGTGATATATCGCTGCGCAGTGATCAGTACTGAATGATTTCAGAGGCGGCATTGCGCTTTGCTTGTCTGCTGAAGGCAGGCGTAACGGAGAGGCGCTGGTCCGATTCAAGACACCGGAGATGCGCGAGTTGGCGTTGAACGACATCGGCATTTTCCTCCTATCCAGGTATGGATTCACCGATTGCTTGATGTTTCTCGTTCTAAAAAGCTCTCTGCTGTTTTACAAGGGCTATGACCCCAATTTTTTGCCCCAGGCGAGGGCCAGCACCTCTTGCTTACCGGGCAAGCGCCCCACAAGTTTTTTCTAGTGTGTTGGCAATTTGGAAAATCTATCGTTCTTTGAATTCATATTACTATTCATTTTTGTCCTGTGTGAGTAACGCGAAGTTACCCAACTAAAACAGTTCGGTTTGGGGTGGCATAGTTTGATCGCTCGGTCCCGATCGGTTAAAAGTCCAGACACGAACGACGGGGGGAAAAGTTTGGAATCGTGGCGTCGTGTGTGTGTTTTATTGCGATGCTGCTGTATTTTATGTATGTACATGGGAGCGAATATGTTTAACCATTGAATATTTGACATTCATATTGAACAGCAAGAGATTGCGCTTCTGCTGTTCCGTTCACACGACCGGCCGCCAGCGCTTTGCTTGATCCCGGCAAATGCATGACATCAGCTGGCGAAAGCTATTCTGGGCTGTTATAAGTAACGGGATAAGATGATTCGAGAAAAAACCAGCCCATCTTTATTTGGCTTGATTTTCAACTTATCTCTGGGGACATTTAGGTAGGATAAATGAGCTCTTCAAGGTGAGGAGCTTTGGTGTAACGACCAGAGATGCCATCGAGCTCACATGGCCGGTGACTGGAACTCAGTCCCGGCCGACAGAGTTATTGAGTTCCACGGGGTCCCGGGAAATTCGTTCCAAATGGACAAAAAGCTCCCCCCCCTTACTGGCAAGCCATCACACAAACTGATGACAGCTTCCTTGGATTCTTTCGTAGACCTCATGAACAGATCAAGACTAGGCCGACCTCGAGGACGAACAGGTGCATAATTGCATCTCAAAAGGACTTGGGCACTTTTGGACACTTCTGCTATAGATTCACCCCCACAACGTATTCAAACAATGTTGTTATCCATTCCCAGCGTTATTTTATAACCTCAAATCTCATTTCTTTCTTTTCGTGCAAGCCCCAGATAGTATGAATACTGCCTGGAAAGGTTGTTGACGCAATGTGACCTAAAGGCACGGGTCAGGATCAGAAGGTCAAGCCAACCGCTTTCATCAGTTTTGTTAGATGATGCATAACCCCAAAGGTAGAGCCACCCTTGTGACTCGAAATCACCTACGTGCCCATGAATAATAGCTTGAGACCCATCATTCACGATTGGTAAACATTTTGAAAAATTTTGCGTTCCCTTGACTCCGCCCAACCTACCCGCAACCGTCCCCAGAGTGTGTTTTCGGAGGTTTGTTTCTCTTCGGAAACTGAATCTTTTTGCGTGAAACTTTGTAAATTTTCTCTAGTGATCACAACTGACATATTCATGTTGGAAGTAAATGCAAGAATTTCTCGTGAACGATCCCTTTGAGCTTTTGTGAATAAGTTGAACATTCCTTACTATGCATTTTTTTCTCCACACAAAATGTGGACCTTGTATTAGCGACTTCTCCCGAAGTGGGTACGGTCGAATTAGGTGAACGGCAGTAATGCAGATTTGATTGTTCGCCTTCCACAAATTACCGTATCTGTAGTTTTCGGTAGAAATCTTGCAGGGATACTCCATTTTCATGTCCTACCAACTTCTACAGCTGACTCAGAAGATTTAATGACCGCGGCGATTCACGCATAAAATGCGCCGTTCATTTGTCTCTGATTACTAGACCTCCCCTGAGAATCATATGGTGGAAATCATAGGCTCGTATTAATGATAAACGTCCGGGACAAAGGAGTCACCAGTGAATTTATGAGGGAGAATTTCCTCATCCGACCTCATTTTTCTTCATATACGATTACAAAACAT